ATGCTGCATTTATTTGATCATAAATACAGTAAAACAGTAATATTTGAAATATTACTATATTTTTTTTTTTCCATTTGAATATGTTTTAAAAGTTCATTTTTTCCTGTGATTACAATATAAAATAATGGTTTCCATTTTAATATCCTTTAAAATTTAATTTTTTCCTGTGATTTCAAATCTGAATTTTCAGCATCATTACTCCAGTCTTCAGTGTCACATGATCCTTCAGAAATCACTCTAATATACTGATCTGATGCTCAATAAATATTTCTTATTGTCATCAATGTTGAAAACAATTGAGGAAAATGTGACCTTTTTTCATGATTTTTGATGATTTGATCATGATTTTCATAATCATGATTTGAAACAAATCTTTTATAAAACTACATTACTGTCACTTATGGTCAATTTAATGCATTGTTACTGAATAAACATATTGTCTTTAAATCTAAAAAAATTAAAATCTTACATATATATATAATGAATGGGATATAAAGGCCTTTGTATATAAATTAGATTATATGCCCCATTTTAACTGCACAAACTACATTATATAAACCATAAACATGACATGTTGACCTTTCCAAGATACTGTTGATACTGTTTCTGTACCTTGATGTGTTGAATGGCAGGTATTCATATCTATGCACTTCACCTCACATCCCCTTTGTCATTCAAGGTTTTACACAATGGTGTCCTGATAAAGCCACAGCGCTCTGTTTATCTTCTGCATTGAGATGACAGAATGTCCCCTGTCCCCTGTCCTCCCGTATCCCATCAGCCCCGCAGCTCGTATCCGGTTCATATGGCAGCACAGGACATGAGGGCAGATCCTAATCACCACACACATCTGATAGGATTGTGTGCATATAAAGACACGAGATCCGTACACTGAAACACTTTCTGTATGAATCAGCTGTCCACAAAAGATAAGCCATAGACCTCAGGGCAGATTATTGTTCAGGCAGGATAGATAATATGACCTTATACAATACAGTGTGTGATGGAGAAGTCCAGTCAGAGACGTGAATCATCTAAAATGATCTCTGGTAGGTTATACTCATGGGAAGGACAGTGACTCCGACATTCCTTACAGAAAAAAGTGGTTAAACAATATATAATGTTCCCATACCTTTTCCCACAAATAGTTTAAAAGAAACTAAGATAGATAGATAGATAGATAGATAGACAGACAGACAGACAGACAGACAGATCGATAGATAGATAGATGATAGATGATAGAGAAGGAAGTAAAAAAGGAAGGAAGGAAGGAAGTCAAGAAGTAAGGAAGGAAGGAAGTAAAAAAGGAAGGAAGGAAGGAAGTCAAGAAGTAAGGAAGGAAGGAAGGAAAAAAAGGAAGGAAGGAAGGAAGGAAGTCAAGAAGTAAGGAAGGAAGGAAGGAAACAAGGAAGGAAGGAAGGAAGTCAAGAAGTAAGGAAGGAAGGAAGGAAACAAGGAAGGAAGGAAGGAAGTCAAGAAGTAAGGAAGGAATGAAGGAAACAAGGAAGGAAGGAAGGAAGTCAAGAAGTAAGTAAGGAAGGAAGGAAACAAGGAAGGAAGGGAGGAAAGAAGGAAGTAAAAAGTAAGGAAGGAAAGAATTAACGAAGTAAGGAAGTATAGGGAAGGAAGTAAAGAAAGAAAGAAAGAATTTTTATAGATATTGTACTGATTAATTTAATATATTATGTTAATATTAATTTCCATAACCTTCATAATAAAAATGAAATAAAAAGAAAAGATGATAGATAGATAGATAGATAGATAGATAGATAGATAGATAGATAGATGACAGATTGTTCAGTTTGCAACAGTCAGTAGTCAGTATTTTGTACTTTGTTTGGCAACGATGTGATTGGTCTGGAGCTCAAACCTGGTCTTATGTAAGAAAGATTTCCAGTGGGGACCGTGTTCAACAATCAGTTGTCTATTAACACAGCCTTAATCTCAGCTTGGCACAGACTCATGAAGAGACATGCTCTGTTGGGACGCGCCAAACATTACTCCTCTCATTAATCCTCTCTCTGTCTCTTTCAAAAGTGCTGTGGGTCCTGGTTTACTGTCTGCAGCACCGTGTGTGTCCAGATCTTTGTTGATGGGGTTCAAACGTCTGAGACCACATTGAAAAGTACTGCTCTCAGACCTGGACCCCACTGCCACAAAGCCATTTAATATCTCCATGACTACTACACTTTGGGAGCCTAATAAAAGAACAGCTCACTTCCAGTACAAAGAGAGCTGCCTGATAAGAAAGGGTGTAGAATGAAATATAAAGAGAACGAGAGAGAGTTGAGAAAGCATCTGCTGTGGGTGGTGTTGATGACTACCTTCACCCTTTCCTATCCTGCTCACCGTTTATGTCATTCACCCCTAGTGAAAACACTCAAGATCAATACAAAGCCCAACAGGCACGTGTAACTACAGCATTTCCTATTATTACTCCAACAATGGCCTCTCTTGAGAATCAGCTGCTCAATGTTGCAAACATTCTACATGTACTGGATAATTAAAAGTGATTTTGAGCCTGACCGGGAGAAAGAGAGAGGGTTGGGGGTAATGCAAACAAATGCATCCATGTGGGAGTGACAGAGCATGTGAATCAGTGTGATGTAAGTGTGTTGAGAGAGTAGGAGGACAGACCTCCACCGCTGCTCATTCACAGCAGGAGACTGTGCTCTCAATCTGTGCAATTAAACACATACATTATAAACAACCACAGGGCCCATGCACATGTGATTCTTAAACATATTAAACACTGGTATGTTTTTCTAAATCTAAAGTTTTAATGACTAAATAACCTTAGTTATTAATATGTTCTATATAGTATGAATGTAACCTGGATGTACTATAGTAGTCAACATTTGAAGTGGATCAAAACGTTCATCAAAGTTGTCCTAAGACAAGAACGCATGTTGGGTTTAGGTTTAAAGGGTTAGTTCACCCAAAAATGAAAATTCTGTCATTAATTACTCACCCTCATGTCGTCGTTCCAAACCTGGAAGACCTTCGTTCATCTTCGGAACACAAATTAAGATATTTTTGAAGCATTCCGAGAGCTCTCTGACCCTCCCATAGACAGCAAGGATCCTAACACGATCGAGGCTCAGAAACATAGCAAAATAAAATAATAATAATAAATAATAAATTAAAATAATCCATGTAACATCAGTGATTCAACCGTAATTTTACAAAGCTACGAGAATACTTTTTGTGCGCAAAGAAAACAAAAATAACAACTTTATTCAACAATTCGTCTACTCCGCGTCACCCTGTAGTGCCATTTTGGAGAGTATCACATACGTAAACAACGTATGCAACGTATGTACGCGGATACGTTGTTTATGTTCAGATCAAAGTGTAAACAGCGTATCTGCGTACGGTGCTGCTGACACAGAACAGCATACGTTGTTAACGTATCTGATACTCTCCAAAATGGCGCTATAGTGTGACACGGAGTAGACTAATTGTTGAATAAAGTCGTTATTTTTGTTTTCTTTCCCCAAAAAAAGTATTCTCGTAGCTTCGTAAAATTACGGTTGAACCATTAATATCACATGGACTATTTTACCAATCTCCTTGCTACGTCTCTGGACCTTGATCGTGGTAATTACATTGCTGTCTATGGGAGGGTCAGAGAGCTCTCGGAATGCATCAAAAATATCTTAATTTGTGTTTCGAAGATGAACGAAGGTCTTACAGGTTTGGAATGACATGAGGGTGAGTAATTGGTCCCACTTTATATTAGGTGGCCCTATGTACTTACATCAAAAAAATAAGTACAATGTACTTATTGTGTTCATATTGTCTTGCAAAATACTTTTGCTGCTATTGAGGTGGGATACGGGTAAGATTAGGGACAGGTTTGGTGGTATGGGTAGGTTTAAGGTGTAAGGGATGTGTAATTATAAATGTAATTACAGAAATTAGATGTAATGCAGGTATTTTTTTTTAAATGTAAGTACAACGTAAAAACATTTATGAACAAAATAAGTGCATTGTATCAAATAATTAATTTAAATGTAAGTACATAGTAGTTAAGGCCACCTAATATAAAGTGGGACCTAAATTAATACTGTTTGTGTGTACTATTTAACAAGGCATAAATGTGTTCGGGATTATTTTGCACACAATTTTAAATGTTCCTGAAAGCTACGCCTCAGAACGAATTAATTAAAAAAAGAAGAACAAACTAAATCAACAATCACACTTGCAGAAAGAAAGTACATACTCTTTCCTCAAAATGCACCTAAAATGCAAAATAACAAGGGATAGGCCTACTAAGTATCGATTTCAAAAGCTATAAACAGTAATTTCTGTATATTCAGTGTGTGAAAATGAACAGGTTAAATAGCCTATAATAAACTTTTTTTTTTTTATGGTTAAATACAGTTTTATTTATCATGTTCTCATGTGCTTTTTTTGTGTGTGATTTTGTAAAGTCGTAATTTTGTTATGATATAATACTGTTTTGATCTGTTTGCTGTAGTTACTATTTAGTTTTTCATAGTGATTTTGTTGAATTGTATTAGCCTAAAGCTATGGGTCAGTTTGCAAACATAAATATAATTAGGCCTATTAATTAAGATATTATTTGGAAGCCACAACAATTAAAAAAAATATTGTCCCCCTTTTTTAATACGTAGATAATCACAGTTAAGATTTAAATTATATTTTGAGCACTGAACTAGGATATGATTTCAGAAATCTGGTCACCCTAACATATTTTCTTGAAAGATAAAGCCTTATTGAAACTATGTCATGTTTCCGGTAGTAAATGTTGGGTTGTGTTTCTCTCTAGTGGTGAAATGCAGCATAACAAGACAAGGACAATACGCATTGAGTGATTCAACACGAGAACAGATGAATTATTGATAGGCTGCAAATAACCTTGATTCTTGACAGAAAGTTCAAGAACTTTCCGATTTGCTGCCGTTGTATGAAATGAGTGAGATCCTAATTAATGCACATGGAAAATGAGGTAAAATCAAGAGTAGAGAATAAAATTCAAGGCATTATTTATTTCAAAAGTTAGATTCACAGCTCCACCATGTCACCATCAGCAACCCCAGTGATGCATAGCATTAACATTCAAGAGGTTTCAAAATATGGTTATGTTACGTAAAACTCGATAGGTCATGTATACACACATTTAAAAAAAAAAAAACGGCATTATAGCTCTGTGTCAGTGATGTAGTTTAATTCAATTAAGCAAATATCAGTTTATAACATATTACTTCTTAACCATTCCCCAAATCCTTTTTTGGTTGATAATGTATTAATCACTGCAAAAATGTAAACTACTAGTTTTGAAATGTGTTTGGTAACAAATTGCAGAGGTTCACAACTCCAGTAATTGAAAAACAAGAAACAGCCTCAAACATAGACATAGGTTTTAAAAGGATCTATTGGATAAAGTATTACATTTTTAACAGTAACCGTTTCCGAACTCAGCAGTATCCTTGTACAACGTTTGATTAGCAAGTCTGACAAAAAAAATGCATAATGTTCAATAAAATGCTGCAGTTTAAGATATATATACTCTTTTGCTGTGACATTTGGAATCTAGCAAAGCTATATTATTATTACTAAAATACGATTATTTAAATTGTACATTTGTAAAGGTCACATATTTGTTGCATTACATTTATGCAGATTTTCCATTGATTTTGGGGTGAAATCTAACCCTGACATTTCTTCAAGAGATTCATCATCAGGAGAAAATTATAATTCTGAAAGCAAGTTTGCCATTTGTTGTTCTGTGCTGAATTGCACTTAAACACTGAAAACTACAGCATTATAGCTGTATAGCAAGACTAGGACATTTTCAGACTTAAACTACTGGATTTAATTAGAATAGGTCAGATCTTGGTTGTTAGTTTTTCCACACGTAGGAGAAACGCTTTTGAATGTGCAATTAAACTGGAATGAAGGACAGACATTCTCCTTCCCGCTATCTACACAAGCTCAAGAGAGGGTCTCTCCAGAAATAAAGCAACAGCACAGGTAGTTCTCAGCCAGGGACTCAAGGCTTGAGTTTGAGCCAGGGGTGAACTATAGTGAGGATGGACAGGACGGAGGACGTGAGGCCGCAGGCCCCCACAAAGCCCGAGCCCGTGGGGTACAGGCCCAGCCGGTCCAGCGGGATGAAGACGTCACACAGGTTCTTCAGCAGGTCCAGGAGCAGCGGAGGGTTGTTGCGCAGCACCGTGATCAGGAGCTGGAACTGCTTGTTGAGTCCGGCTGACAGCGCTGAGGAGGGCGACGGGGTCAGAGGGAGCTCTCCTCCGTTCTCTGGGCTCGGCGTGAGGGGAGACAGACTGCAGTTAAAGCTTTTAGCTGCACTGCTGCGGGACTCTCTCTCCATCAGCAGATGGGTTTCATACGCGTCTCGCGTTAGATTGAGGATGAGCGCGAACAAGTAGAATCTGTTAGCAGGAAGCGAGAAAAAGTCGGGTTATTAGATTGCGAATTTCATGCTGTGTTCAAAATATTCAATTAAATGCAATCATCTCCATTACATTAACATTAAAATGCAAAAGAAATAAAAAATCCAGGAACATTGCTGATGGCTAATGCAAATTCAATCACAGATTTGAACCAAATTTTCATCTGCAAAATCAATTAAACAGAAAAATAAACAAATATATGTAAACATATATATATACACTACCGGTCAAAAGTTTGGGATCAGTAAGACTTGTAATGTTTTTAAAAAAGTCTCTTCTGCTCATCAAGGCTGCATTTATTTGATGGAAACTACGATACTTTTTTTCAGGATTCTTTGATGAATAAAAAGTGAAAAAGAACAGCATTTATTCAAAATATAAATCTTTGCTATCACTTCTTAACAATTTAACACATCCTTGCTGAATAAACGTGTTAATTTCTTTCAAAAAAAGAAAGAATAAAAATTTACTAACCCCAAACTTTTGAACGGTAGTGTATATTGTTAGTTTCCAGCACTGATAATAAATCAGCATATTAGAATGATTTCTGAAGGATCATGTGACACTGAAGATTGGAGTAATGATGCTGAAAATTCAGCTTTGCATCACAGGAATACATTATATTTTAAAGTATATTAAAATAGAAACCATTATTTTATATTGTAATAACATTTTGCAAGATTACTGTTTTTTTCTGTATTTTTGATCAAATAAATGCAGCCTTGATGAGCAGAAGAGACTTCTTTAAAACACATTACAAGTCTTACTGATCCCAAACTTTTGACCGGTAGTGTATGCATGTATATATATATATATATATGTTATTACAGGTAACCAAAAGCATATAAATAACATAATATTTCATAAAATTAACCAAAATAAAATATTTATTGTATTTCAGTTCATGTTTATTTAACAAATCAAAATTGAGTATCTGATGATTTTCTGAATTAAAAAATGTTTAATTTGGGTTTTGTTTTTTTGCCTTCAACATTTATCATTTTCATGAAGTTTCACTTGATCTAAAATAACTAAAACTATACATACATTTTTTTTTAATAAAAAAATAATTTAAAAAATGACAAAAACACAAGTACTAAAATGTAACTAAAATTAAAATAAAAACAGAAAATACAAAAATAAATCTTCCATCTTTATTTGACCCTCTAACTCTAGCTAAATTATTTTTGTTCTCGAGGCTGAAGATCCAGCCACCAACTACAGGGGTGGACTTACAGTTAGAAATTACAATAGATCACCCTCAATGTAATCTGTCAAATTAGTTTTAGTTTTTGGTTAACGTGACCGCTGGTATATATATATAATGTGTATACAGTGGGTACGGAAAGTATTCAGACCCCCTTAAATTTTTCACTCTTTTGGAATGATTTCATTTTGCTAACATTTTAGAAAATTTTGCAAAACAAAAAAAAAAAACAAATGAATCTAGCACTCACCTAAACGACCTCTGGCTCCATTTGTTTTGGTCCAGTTCGGGCAGCAGTCCTGTTTTGCCGGCCCACAGTACATTATCACAGGCAAAATACATGGCTCTGTTCAAATGGGCCACAGTGATGCAGAGCCGCAGCACACAGTCTGACAGATGCACGGTGCGTTTGGCTGCTTCCAGAGCTTCAGCCGAGTTCCCCAACCGCATCACTGACACAAAACACACAGACAGACTCAATCAATCAAACACTGAGCGGGGACGGCAACATAAACACATCCTGGGACTGAAAAGAGATTAGGTATCAGGAGTCACTTAATGGAACCACATCACTAATTAATATTAGTAATAAGAGGTACAATCAGTCTAAATTAACCCTCAGAGACTCAAGCTATGTATTTGCTATGTTATTGTCATGATATTTTATATCATGCATTTAGGAACCATTAGTTATAAAAATGTTAAAAAAGCAAAACTTGCATTGGGGTATAATATGGGGAAAACTGCCAGTAAGGACACATGATACAGCCATGAAAAGATTAGAAATTTCAGTAGAGTATAAAGACTGCAATAAATATTCATATCAAAGCATATTGTAAGTTTAATGCATTCATTTTAATACCACTTAATTAAAACACATGTTGTCATATAAATAAGAAAATACTGGTGAAACAGCTGAAAAAAACTGGAATGATGTTTGTAGCATTCATTGAATTAGCTTCACTGTGAGAACAATAGTCCAGTGTTGCGTTCTTTAAAAATACTCTCAAATTTTATTAATGTTTTTTAATGTTCAAAAGTTAAAGGAACACTCCACTATTTTTGAAAATAGGCTCATTTTCCAACTCCCCTAGAGTTAAACAGTTGAGTTTTACCGTTTTCGAATCCATTCAGCCGATCTCCGGGTCTGGCGGTAGCACTTTTAGCTTAGCTTAGCATAGATCATTGAATCTGATTAGACCGTTAGCATCTCGCTCAAAAATGACCAGAGTTTCTATATTTTTCCTATTTAAAACTTGACTCTTCTGTAGTTACATCGTGTACTAAGACCGACGGAAAATGAAAAGTTGTGATTTTCTAGGCCGATATGGCTAGGAACTATACTCTCATTCCGGCGTAATAATCAATGCTTTGCTGCCGTACCATGGGTGCAGCAGGTGCAATGATATTACGCAGCGCCTGAAAATAGTCCCCAGC